ATCCTAGCTTGGGAGGGTCAAGGAAGGCCTCCCAGGGAGACACCTTTCCCCGTAGCAGGAAGGAGGTTGCATGCAATGGTTTTTTGACGATGGAAAGGTCCCATCTGATGGCTTCTGATTCCTCTGAAAAGTGGAGGTCTGGCACATCAGCTACGGGTGGGGGAAAGAGAAGTTGAGGAAAGTGAAGTTTGGAATGATTTTTTAGTAGAAAGGGAGAGTTTTTAAGGCATGAAGCAAGCTCCACAGGCAGGGAGCTTTACCTGTTTTGATCACCAATGTATTCCAAGTACTTAGAACAGTACCTAGCACATAGCAGGCACTTAATAAATGGAATTCATGAATAAGTGCTTTTCAAGTGATGCATGGAGCTGATCATTAATTGTAGACCATGAGTTTACGGTGGCACCAACTTACTCATATGTGTGATTTTATCCAATAGTGCCGAGCCACTTCCTATGGGGCAGGTCTGGCAGAGGCAGAGAGTTGGGATTTTGCCAGGTAGAAATGATGAAAGGAAAATGAGTTGAGAAGTGTTTGGGATGTTGACCATGAAAACTATCGTGGAGAGGGAGGAAATGAAGAGGTTGCTCACAGACAGGATCAATGGAATGGATGTCCTGTCAAGGTTGAAGAATTGTCATCTTTAGGACAAATCTGAGGGTTGAAGCCAGAGGGTGGGATGTCAGACTATATTATTTCAGAAGACAAAGTAGTTTCTGATGATGAGGCTTCAGATATGACCATAGCTAGATTGGAGCTGAGGCAAAGGACTCTGAAATGAAAAGGTCTAGCAATTGAAAGTCTAGGTCATTGAATGGTCTATCCCCACAGATGTTTGGGTCTCCCATAGATTCCCCCTCTTCAAGAACCCTGCCCTGGGCTCCATCCAGACTCTTCCCCAACCACCAGAGACCTGCATTTACACTTCAAGTTAAGCCTTAAATCATAAGAGTAATGACATAGTTCTGGGCCAGAAAACAAAATGGGGAAGTTAGAGAGGGCTGTAGTGGACGTATGTTTTGTTTTGTTTTGATACCAGCATGCATACACCTTTCGGGAACCAGTATGTCTATGTCCTCTGAAGGAACTACCACAGTCGCAGTCCATGTGCAGGTGGAGTGGTCTTCCCTCCTCCACACCCTTACTCCAAGGGTCTATGTATGACTCAGACCTGTCAGAAGAAGCATTCTACTCCCCTGTGAGCAGTACAATGAGTAGTTCAGGGATGAATACATGACAAATTGGAACCCATAAGTCACAATGTAGTCAGAGTGACACCACATTTTTAGCATCACTTGTACCTGCTACCACACAAAACCTGAGAAAAGTCAGCACAGAAGACAAGAGAGTCAAGAAGTGGAAACTGAACCCTGATTACACTGAATTGAGTCCCTGTATCCTACTACCTGAAGCCAGCCCTACCTTTGGATTGTTCAGTTATCAGTCAATACATTCCCATTTTGTTTACACCTGTTGGATTTTATTCTGTCATTTATATCCAAATGATTCCTCACAGTACAAAGGGGTTTCTCAATCCTTCGCTCTGCCTTCTGAGCTCAGTTTCCCCTTATGTGAAAAGGGATAACAATACCTATTCAAGGAGTTGTAAAGATTAAATGGGATAATAAATGTTAGAGTACAAATTTGTTACTTAACACTCAGAAGCAAGAAAAGGCACATTACTTAATTTTTTAAAATTAAATTAAATCTGGCTCAAAACTCCCATTTATTAGAGATCAAAGACATCCAATATTAATCATGATTGGGGGCCTTTCCCCCTCTTTAGTGTGGTATACACTGACCAAAAAAGAAAGGAAAACCACTTAGGAAAGAAGCTCAGTTTGAGTCTGTCATGGTTGCCCCTGGGATGTTCATTGTCTAAACCCATATGGTCCATTAGAAGGCAGGTGGCTTCACAGCATCTCTGCCAAGTATGCACACCAGCATCTTTTGTTGCAGTTCCCCAGGCTATGTGTTAGATGTTTAGTGCCCTAACCATTAAACTCGCCCCATTAGAATTCCTGATGCCTCCTAGTGAACTTCTGTACAATCCCTGTCACTCATGGAACTCATCACTACATCTTTTTCCCCAAGTCCCTGGGCCCACTGCTAACCTTGAGCAACTCCTCTTCTTTCAACCCAGCACGTCTTCCATCTTCTCCTTCTCAAGAACATTCAGCCAAAATTAAATTCCCCTCCCACACAAGAGCCTGGATAAGATCGTAGACTAGGTGTCTTGCAACTTTGGTTTGGGACTAGAAAATATATAATCCATTAACAATTCCATGAGACAAGAAACCTAGAATTCCTAGAAGAGAAGAAAGCAGTTACCTTTTTATCCCACTAGCAAGGAATCGGAAATAGCAATTAATAACTTAGTAAGTTATCCTGCCATAAGTATAAATTAACTAGTGTAGAGTTAAGTATTCAGTATTGCTTTCTCTAAGGACTCAACCTTCTTCATCCAGAGGTAGCAAACTCAAATGCCAGGCAGTAATACAAATGAGTAAAAATAGACAAATATAAGAAAACAAAATCAAGCAGCAACTAACCCTTAGCCTTGGTATTAACAATGAAAATTTTGGTGAGAACCATTGTGAATTGGAGAGCACATGTCCACTTCAAAGGGAAGGAGCAACTGCTACTTAACTCTAAATGGTCTTGGTGGGAATGAGAGTCCAGTGTTGCCAGATTTTAAGCTTGAAATATTATTATGTACAATCTGTTAAGTTTACAGTGTTGGCTACTCATTCAAGTTTTTGTTTGTTTTTCTAATCCTCACCTGAGGATATTTTTTCATTGATTTTTAGAGAGTGGGAAGGAGGGAAGAGGGGGAGAGAGAGAAAAACATCAATGTGAGAGACACACTTTGTGGCCTTCCGCACACACCCCAACTCCGGCCAGGGATCAAACCTACAACCCAGGTACATACCCTTGACCAGAAATTGAACCCGTGACCCCTTAGGTCTTCAGGCTGATGCTCTAGCTGCTGAGCCAGACAGGCAGGGTTTGTTCAAGTTTTTAATATAAACACTACTGGCTACATTGTCTGGGCCAAATGCTACATATCAGTTGGTCATCTTTAAGCCTTTTTATGGATTCAGTTTCTACATATATACTGCTAGCTGGCAAATTTACATCTTCCCCATTGACTGCTCTCCCAAGCTTCAGAGTATCTGAATTGCCTCCTGCCTAGCTTTTCCTTGTCACAGGTACCTCAAATTTCAGTGTCTAAAATGGAACCCACACACCCTAAATTGGTTCCCAGGTCTGTGTTCCCCATTTCAGTAAAATGGCACTAACATACATACCCAGTTTCGTCTCAGAAACCCTGGAGTCATTCTCAACTCCCTCTCCCTCTACCATATCCCATTGGTAAAAAAAATTTTAACAGTTGGATCTGTGGAATTCTACTTGGAACTCATTATTTTCCATTCTTACCATCATTGCCTTGGTTTAGGCCTCATTATTTATTCTGCCTAAATTAAAGCAAGATCTCCCTAACTAATCTCTTGCCTTCAATCTCTAATCTCTTTGCCCTCACTATAGCCAGAGTGTTATTTCCAAGACACAATCTTGATTTTGTCACTTCCCTGCTCAAAGCTTTTTAATGATTTATCATTACCTTTAGGATAAATTTCAACTTCTTACTGGTATTCAGGGCCCTTTGTGATCTTGCCTTTCCAGGTCTATCTCCTACTGCTTCCTCAATCCCCACCATATTGAAATACCTTCATTCTCCCTAATGGGCAGTTTTCTCTACCCTAGCTCTTTACACAGGCTATCTCTACTACTTGGACTATCCTCTTGCTCCCTACACTTTCATTTTCTTGGTTCCTCAAACCTCAATCATCTCTTCTGGGACATACCTCCTGACAAGCAACCCGCTTCCCCAGGCTGGTAACCTTTTCTGCCTCCACTGTGCATCTCTATTTTATTGTCTATTACTTGACTGATTTTCCCCACTGAAATAGGACTTAGAAGACTGTCTTACTTCTATCTATTCAAGACTGAACACCATACCCGATCCAAACTAGGCACTCAGTAAATATATATTTAATGAATCAATTAATCTAGTCCAACTTAGGGTAGCAATGGAAAACCCTTTCTTGTCCAATATCACATGGCCAATCAGTGACAGAACTAGAGAACCCAAGTCTCCTGCTTCAATTTTTTTTTTTTTAAACATATCTTTATTGATTTCAGAGAGAGGAAAGGAGGGGGAGAGAGATGGAAACATCAATGATGAGAGAGTCATTGAATGCTGCCTAGCCCGTAACCCAGGCATGTGCCCTGACCGGGAATCGAACCCTGATCTCCTGGATCCTAGGTCGATGCTCAACCGCTGAGCCAAGCCTGGCCGGGCTCTCCTCAATTTTAGATCAGTGCTCTTTCTACCAGACTAAGCTGGCCTTGCAGGGAGGAGGAGGGGTGAGTAGAGAGGCATTAACTTGTATTGGGAGGGCAGAGCTTGAAGGTTGGCCCTGAAAAGAAGAGTTGACATGGAACAGAGTGGTTGTTTTAGGGTAAAGAGGGGTAAATGAAAAAAAATGGTCAAGCACATTTGATTTGTCATCCTTAACATGAATGCTTGCCAAAAATATTTCAGGCAACCTAAAGTCAAATAAAACAGTTCACAGCTGACAAGAGACTAAAAAAAAA